TCTATACAAGTCCTCCATCTAATGCACAGTAAACACTGCAATAGTTACACCCTTTTTGCACACGCTCTTTTCTACTCTGTAATATTCTATTTATTTATAAGACCTCTGTTAGTTCTTGATATTTATAATTGAGTGATGTCTATATGCTTTTACTTAAATTTGTAAAATCTGTAACATATTGTATTGTTTAAATTGTTTAGCCGGTTATTGTTACTGTCTTAGAGCAGTTGTAACCCACATAATTTCCTTAGGGATTTATAAAGTATTCTGATTTTGATTCACGCAGTCTCCTCTGAACAGTTGATGTAGAGATGTGTCTGCTACTGGAACTCTGTGTAGCATTCATCTGGGGTCTAATCTGAGGTGCTGTTAACTTGTGATTTCTGAGGCTGTTGACTCAGTGAATTTATCCTCAGCAGCAGAGGTAACTCTTGGTTTTCCTTTCCTGGGGCGGTCCTCATGTAAGCCAGTTTTGTCATAGCGCTTGACGGTTTTTGCGGCTGCATTTGGGGACAGATTCAAAGTTTTAGCTATTTTCCCAACTGACTGACCTTTAGTTCTAAAGTGAAAGACAGAGATTACCAAAAAGAGATTACCTAAAGTAATTCATTAAAGTAATGATGGACTGTCATTTCTCTTAACTGACTGGTTCTTGCCATAATATGAATTCTAACAGTTGTCAAATAGGAATGTCAGCTGTGTACCAACCTGACTTCTGCACAACACAACTGATGGTCCCAACCCCATTAAGAAGGCACGAATTTCCATAAACGAACCCTGACAAGGCACACCTGTGAAGTAAAAACCATTTCAGGTGACTACATCATGAAGCTCATTGAGAGAAGGCCAAGGGTTTGCAGCGCTGTCAACAAAGCAAAGGGTGGTTACTCTGAGGAATCTAAAATTGAAAACTTTTTTTTTCTTAGCTGCATATGGTAAATGGTAAATGTTAATGGCCAGTATTTGTATTGCGCTTTACGAGTCCCTCAGGACCCCAAAGCGCTTTACACATTCAGTCATCCACCCATTCACACACTGGTGATGGCAAGCTACATTGTAGCCACAGCCGCCCTGGGGCGCACTGACAGAGGTGAGGCATATGTATATACATCTTGCTTCATATATTTGATGTCTTCAGTATGTATCTACAATGTAGAACATAGTCAAAATAAAGAAAAAACATTAAATGACAAGGTGTGTCCAAACCTTTGACTGGTAGTGAAAGCTTATGCATAAGTTCAACAAGGAAGATCTATGGTCTCACATCTGTCCACTCCCAGGTGCTGCTGGCTAAATCTAAGCTTTATCACTTTCCCACACTGGCATCACTGGTCTAGTCCAATCACCTTCTCCTGGTCTGCTCCAGGCCAATCAGCATTCATGACACACGTCTCCGAGTGAGTGTCCAGCATTCAGACAGCTACCTGAGGACACTCTTCATGTGAGAGAAAATCTGCTCACACAGATATGTAAAGCCAAGCTCCATGAACACGCGCAGCTATGGATTCCAGCTGCTTCAATGTTGCATTAACTGGCATTAACTCAGCCAGAGTTGGGAGACAAATCTAGCTGCTCATTAAAGATTTCTGGTTTGATCAGAAAAGAAAACATTGGACCATATACCTGAAAGTCCCAAAAACGCATTGTGAATTCTGTCTCGAGTCTACGGATGTATCCGTGTATTTCCGTGGTGCTGATGCTGTGCTGAGCGGACAGCTCCTGAAGCTTTTGAAACCGAATTTCCCAGAGGAACCCACCCGAGGGATTAATAAAGTTTTGTCTTATCTTATCTCTTATCTTATGAGATCAGGGGAGATACTTCTGGATTGGCAGACTGGGGTGGTGGTTCCCATCTTTAAGACGTGGAGAAGGCATTTGACCATGTCCCTCAGAGTGTCCTGTGGGAGGTGTGCTTCTGGAGTATTGGGGTGTCTGGCCTATTGCTATGGGCCATTTGATCTTTATACAACCGTTCCAAGAGCTTGTTCTGCATAAATGGCAATGAGTCTGACTCGTTTTTGGTGGGTGATGGACTCCACTAGTGCTGCCTCTTGTCACAGTTTCTGTTGGTAATTTTTATCGACAGAATTTCCAGACATAGCCAAGTGGTGGAAAGCTTCCACTTGAGTAGTCTCACAGTCTCATCTCTGCTTTTCGCAGATAATGTGGTTCTGTTGGCTTCATCGGGTGATGGCCTCCAGCTTGCACTGGAGTGGTTTGCAGCTGAGAATGAAGCAGTGGGAATGAGAATCAGCATCATCAAATCTGAGGCCATAGTCCTCAGCCGGAAAACAGTGGAGTGCCCACTCCAGGTCAGGAACGAGTTTCTCCCCCAAGTGGAAGAGTTCTATCTTGGGGTCATATTCCCAATTGACGGGAGAAAGGAGCAGGAGATCGACAAACAGATTGGTGCTGTGGCTGCAGTGATCCGGACCCTGTACCGGTCCATTGTTTACCCTCACCTATGGCAACTAGCTGTGGGTAGTGACCAATAGAACCAAATCTCTTGGGTGGCTGGCCTCTCCCTTAGAGATGGGGTGAGGAGTTCAGTCATCTGGGAGGGGTCAGAGGAGAGCTGCCGCTACTCCACATGGAAAGGAGCCGGTTGAGGTGGTTTGGGCATCAGATAAGGATGTCTTCTGGGTGCCCCCTGGGTGAGGTGATCTAGGCATGTCCAGAGAAGGCTCCAGGAAGACCCAGGACACACTGGAGAGACAACATACCTGTTGGCTAACCTGAGAATGCTTTGGTGTTCCCCCAGACATGCCAGGGAAGTTGGCCAGGGACAACTTCCCTGGTAACTGCTCAGGCTGCTGCCCCCACGACTTGGCCCCGGATAAGAAGAAGAAGATCCATGGATGGATGGATGTTTCAACCAATTCTTGTCATTTCACACAGTGAAGGCACTGTGTGAGCAGTGGTTGGCAATGAGATTGTCTTGCATATATTTTTGCCCTTCGGTTGACGTGTACATCACTATACGCTATACGTGCTACACATGGTGTTTTCAATATATTCCCCGCAGCACTTATCATGACTTTACGTACCGTAGTTCCATACTATTTTTTTTTATTACAGTTTCCTTTATTTATTAAAGAAGTTCTTATTTTCTTGTTTGTTTTAGATGCTACTGTGGTGTGTATATGTATGTGTATATGTGTATTGCCATTAAACCTTGTGAACTGACTGCATGTCTACAGCTCATCTCCTATTTAAATAGTGCCTGTTACAGTTCCCATATGCTTGGCTTGATGACAAAAATGCCTTTTGGCACAGTGGGCAGCCTCACTCAGAATAATGTAGCTCAGGCGGTAGAGCAGGTCATCTACTGATCGGAAGGTTGGTGGTTCGATTCCTGGTTTCCCCTAGTCTGCATGCCAAATGTCCTTGCGCAAGATACTAACCCCAAATTGCTCTCCGATGCATCCACCGGAGTATGAGTGTGTGTGTGTGTGTGTGAATGTTACTTAGAAAGCACCTAGAAAAATGTGCTTGTGTTAATGGGTGAATGCACAAGTTGTGTAAGCGCTTTGAGTGCTCAGAAGAGTAGAAAAGCACTATATAAGAAGCAGTCCATTTACCATTTAATGACCTCTCTAAAATGACTCTGGAAGACATTGTTTTGAGTCTTTTGGAGTCATTAAAACAACTAAATGCTGAGATGACTTTGCTGTTTAATAACTTGTTGATCTGTTTGGTAGGGAATCTCCCAGAAAAAATGAAACCCTGTCCAGATTTCTTTGCTCTTTTTTCCACAGTAAATATCATACATTGCTAACAGGCTTGTTTACTTAGTATGTGGAAGACACTTCTGGTTATAGTTAGAGTCTATAAAGTGTGTGTGTGTCAACATTGCATCCAGCAAATGATATATGCAAACAGACTTACTGAAGTTTTCACAGATGATGTGGACTAATGATTTTGTTTCCTCTCCATGGGATTGTCCTGGTCACGTGTCCCCCTGATTCTAAAGATACATGTGATGTGAGTATTTATGTTCAGCCACAATAAACAGCAGAGACAAATGGGTAATGAATTTAAATAAGTCTTCTTGTCCTGTTTTTCATTTCATTATTTCTGTCATTTTTGTATCTCTTGATTTGAATAGAAGGACAATAGAGAGTGCCCATCCCGGCCATGCCCTACTCAGAACTGTGCAGAGAATGTGCCCGGCTGTCCAACACATACATGTGATGTGAGTCTTTGATGTTCAGGCACAATAAACAACCATCAATAATATTTAATGAGCTTAAAGGAAGTCTTCAGGTCCTGTTTTTCTGTTCACTCTTTCTCTAATTATTTTTTTCCTCTGAATTTGAATAGACGGGCAAGAGGGAGTGCCCTCCTCAAGACTGCAAAGAAGAGAATTTACCTGGACACTGCACTGAGCAAACCAGAAGTAAGGACAAAAAACTTTACTAACCAATACATCTGGGAGAAGCATAAGAAAAAAAAATTAAACATGTCTTTTTTAGCACTTAAAATAATAATTAATTTTCTCCAAACTCTTTGGTAACTCTGTCTGGACTATTTATTGTATCGCTTGTTCTTCAGCTGCTTGCTTTAGGGATGACCACAGATCATCTCCCTCTATCTCACACTACCCCTTCCATACTTTTCTATTACACCAACCCTGTGTATGTTATATACATTATATATTCTGATCATTTTTATAGTTATCCTGACATAACTTTGCTTTCTCCTTTTTACTTTAATTCACAAAACTTGACAGGACAACAAATATATATTTTAAAAAAAAGGACCTTCTTGTTGGTTTGGGGTTGTTAGAAACAAACTCTGCACTGAGCGTCTTCATTGCAGAAAGGTTTAGGGTGGATAAAAACACATTTTGATGTACAAATAAAATGTATTTGCTTTTTTCGCTGTAAGATTTTGCACAAATATTTTAATATCTTCATACCTAGAAGCACAGGAATAATACAATAATGTGATGTGTTTACAGGTTGCACCCATTCTGGTGTAAATTATAACAATGGAGACTCTTGGAGGTCGGTGGAGAGTCCTTGTGATATCTGCCAGTGTTTGGTGGGTCTGACAGCAACTACATGCTCAGGTTTTCATCTGGTCACTCACCTTCATCTCTAATAATGCTGTTCACTCTTCAACACAGGACGGTTATGTTCGCTGTGAGAGGGAGCAGTGTTACACTCCCTGTAGAAACCCTGCTGCTCCTCCTCCAAATACCTGCTGTCCAGTCTGTGAAGGTGGGCTTAATTGCCTTGTGTAATAAGGTTTGTATATGTGTTAGACTGTAGAGGCATAATGTGTCTATTTGTGTGTCTTGTAGGCTGTGATGTGAATGGACATGAAGTCCCTAATGGAGCTGTGATCCCTGTTGGAGACCCCTGTGAAGAGTGTAGATGTGAGGTGTGTCTATAAGTTAACATTAGATTTGATTTTGATATGTGTAAGTGAATTAAGGATTATTTTGTTTGTTCTTTCTCTCAAAGAATGGAAATATGGTGTGTTCATACGTTTACTGTCCTGCTCCATCTTGTCACAATCCAGTGTATCATGCTGACGAGTGTTGTCCACGGTAAGGAGCCTGCCTGCTGCGATCATCCATATCATATTTTAAGCCTGTAGAGTTCTTGTCCTTTTAAAATGTATTTAATCAATGTTTACATAAACCTGTAGATGCGAACAGTGTGAATATGAGTCCAAAGTGTATGGAAATGGAGAAAGTTTCACCTCAAAGAGTGACCCCTGCCTCCAATGCTACTGCTCTGTGAGTTTAGTCTGATAGTTATGGTTACATGATGTTCATGTGACTGAAAAATGGATCTAAATTTATTTGTCTTTCAGATTAGCTGTGATATATGTGACAACTAAGTGGAGAATTTGACATATACATTCAATATTTTTCTTTCTCTGTCTCTTAGGCAGGTGAAGTGTTTTGTAGAAATATGGCTGCATCATGTCCTACATCACACTGTACTCATCCAGCTAGGCACAGAGGAGAGTGTTGTGCCACATGCAATGGTCAGTGTCAAAAATATGCGTCTAGTTCCCTCACATATTTCAACTTTTACAGAAACAACCGATCAGCTATTTGTGTTTTTTCTTCCAGACTGTCAGTATGATCAGAGGGTGTATGCTAATGGGGTAATGCTCAGGCTTCCTGGGAGTGGACCCTGCTTGGACTGCAGGTGTAAGGCAGGTGTATATAAAATGTTTTGTATCTAGTGCAAAAAAATCAGGCAAAGTGTGCGTTTTATGGCTTTTCCCACATCAGGAGACATATTTCTGCTTTCTTTGTGCTTTTTTCTTTTCTGGATTATAACACAGTTTGACTTCACACTTTTCATGCCTGTTAATATCATTGACAGTTCTTTTGGTGCTTCTGTTTTAGGGTGGGAATATAACTTGCCATGAGAAGAAGTGCCCTCCTGTCCACTGCTCCAACCCGATTACACATCCACATCTTTGTTGTCCAAGCTGCTAAAGAAATTTCTGACTCACACACACACTTACAGTGCATGTGCTGCTTACAAGTGAGTGCCCTATATGAAAACCTTCTCTTGCTATTGTAGCATGTATATTGGATGAGGTGGAATATGAAGACATCCCCAAAGACCCCTCTCATTCCGTTACCCACACCTTTCCAAAAATGTCAGTGTGAATTTGTGCTGTACACAGAATTGTAATTTTTGGATCCCCCATTTTAGCCAACCTACAGAGACCCCAGACTTGGAGGTTTTGGATTTTTTTTTCCAGGATTCACATGTTTATTTTTAATCATATCTTTTTTTTCTTGTTTTTCCCAGGGATGTTTTAGGAAGACCGAGGTTGGTGCCAGTATTCTTTTTTTTTTTTTTTTTGTAAATAATAGCCTAACAGCTCTGGATCAGCATGAGGCTATGTGGCAAATCCTGACAAGAAACCACAGGGGGATGCCCAGCGGAGAGACTAAAAGATTCCCCTATGTTTTGAGGGTAAATGGGAATCATAGCACTGCAACTGGCTTATTTCAAATCAAATCAAATTCAAATCAAATTCAAATTTTATTTGTCACGTACACAGTCATACACAGTACGATATGTAGTGAAATGCTTGGACAACTGCTCGTGACCTAAAGAGAACAAAAAAGGAAAAGGCTATGAATAAGATAGGAAATAAATATGAAAAATTAAAAAGGGTAAATTTAACTAGGAAGGAATAAAATATAAATTAAGGTTAAAAATGAAATAACTGTACAACACAAATTAGAATGAAGGGTAAATTTAACTGGGAAGAATAAGATAAAGATAAATATATAAATTAAAGTTGAAAATAAAATAACTGTACAACAAAATACACAATACACAATATAGAACTATATAAGAATGTATGAAGAAATCTAAATATAAATAAATATATACACAATAACAGCAGCTGTACAAGTATTAACCGGAAATGAAAAATATAGTGACCAGTGTTGTGCAAAACCAAAGTCCAGAAAGTCCAGTGTGTGTGTAAGAACCATATGTGTGGGTCAGTACTGTGTGGTGGTGTGATTGAGAGACTGTATCGCCTGCGGGAAGAAGCTCCTCCTCAGTCTCTCTGTGTTGGTCTTCAGGGAGCGGAATCGCTTTCCTGACCTCAACAGAGAGAACAGTCCATTGTTGGGATGGCTGAGGTCCTTCACGATCTTCCTGGCCTTGGTCCAGCACCGCCTGCTGTAGATTGAGTGCAGGTCAGGGAGCTCGGAGCGGATGGTGCGCTCAGCTGACCGCACAACCCTCTGTAGAGCTCGTCTGTCCTGCATGGTGCTGTTCCCGAACCAGGTTAAGATGTTTCCCGCCAGGATGCTCTCTATGGTGCACGAGTAAAAGTTCCTGAGCACCTTGGAGGGCAGTTGGAAGTCTCTCAAGCGTCTGAGGTGGTAGAGACGCTGTCGGGCCTTTTTCACCACGGTGTTGATGTGACAGGACCATGACAGGTCCTGCGTGATGTGAACTCCGAGGTATTTGAAGCTGTCCACTCTCTCCACTGGGCACTCGTTGATGACGGGGGTCTGGTAGTTCCTCTCCTGCTTAGTGCTGAAGTCCACTATCAGCTCCTTTGTCTTACTGACGTTTAGAAGGAGGTTGTTCCTCTGGCACCAGTTCTCCAGATTCCTAATCTCCTTCAGGTAGGCCGTCTCGTTGTTATCAGAGATCAGGCCCACCACGACGGTGTCGTCAGCAAACTTGATGATGGTGGTGGAGCTGGTAGTGGCCACACACGTTGAACGTTGAACAGCCTGTTTTTGTTTTGTATCACAACTGTGTATGTTTTTTTTATGGGTAAATCTTGTTTTATGCATTTCAGCATTTTCTCACATCTTTTAGTAAACCTCATTAAACAGCATATCACATATATAGCAGTAATAGACATTTTAAGTCACATACATTTCTCGTGTATTTGAGAAATGTCACATTTATCACACATCACTAAGACATCAGTGTCGATCAGTAAGATTTGAGTATTGATATAAGATGAGTACTCTACATGTGTGCTGAGATATTACTGTAAATTTTTACATGTAGTTTTTCTGATTCCAAGTATGATAGAAGACAGATACCTTGTGGCAAAAGATGGGCTGGCTTTGAATGGAGTGAAGTACGCAAGTCTGTGGGATCTCACAGGACACTCATCGGAGAAAGTGTTTTAGAAGAGATTGTACACAAGGAGAGAACTGGAACATGACAAATTTTCTGAATATCTGCCGCAGTACATCAAAGTGTAAAATTCTGCAATTTTATGATCCTGAGTGTTTGAGTCTGCATGCTTACTACAACAACGGCCAGGCTTTGCTGCTTGTCTATGCTATTGTTTTGCTATTACAAACAAAAAGTAAATCAGGCCTTCAAGCCCAGTTTTTGGTATTACCTATTCTGTATTTTGGGGCTAAACAGTAATCAGTAATCAGATACAGGGTACCTGCCAGCTAACGAAGAAGTCAAAACAGTAAGATAATGCCACCATCTGCTTCATTTCTTGTAACTATAACTTACAGTAGCCACAGTCCAAGTACAGTTGACATTGACTATACATAGAAAGGCTATTTCAGTTCACTAAAGGTAATCAGAGACATTTTTGAAGAAAGAAAAAGATTGACTGTGTTACTTCCTACTACTCAAAAACCACCAGATTCCAGTCAGGTTGCCAGAACCTTGGACCAGAAGTAATACGATAACATAAGTATCCATAAAACATATTTCACCATCTCATCCAAGTCATTTATACTGACAGAGATTAGAGTTCAGACTGGCTTGTGATGTCATCAGTAAACGCTAAAGAAAAAGAGAAAAACAGTGTGTTACTTACGTAGTCAGCTACTTCCGTGCAACTAATATAAGATGCGGTAAGCTGAACACAGCTTCAACTGTCTGTTTGTTGAAAAATAGTAACGGACCGCATTTTCTTGTTAGTAACTGTAACGGCATTGTAACGATAGGAATAGTAATTAGTTAGATTACTTGTTACTGAAAAAAAGTAACGCCGTTATTCCCATCACTGTATATCAGTCATGTGTTGTGTTTGTTGTGTTGGCGCAGTCCAGGGTCACAGGAAACACTTTCCACACTCCAACTGTAACCACTCAGTGCACCAACCTGTAGGGATGGGAATCGAGAACCGGTTTCCAGCAGTCCGTTGTTGATTCATGCACTCTCACTACAATCAGCTGATTCATGGGTCAGAGCATTACTTTTATTTTTATAGGAGAAATGATGAGAATGCAGTGGTAAAGTGGAGACAGCTCCAGGATAGAAACAGCTGCATCATACTGTTAACACAACTTTGGCTCTTAGCAAGCACCTGCACAGACAGCATGCTAACAACTCAAAGCACTTGCCTCATTCACACAAGAACTTTTTCTAAGTAAAGAATACATTTAAAAATATCCCACTCACTGATTGTTTTCCCCAACCTTATGTTCATCAGGATACACTGGCTGCCTGTCCGTCAGAGGATAGACTTTAAAGTTCTGATGCTGGTCTATAAAGCTCTGAATGGTTTAGGACCAAAATACATCAGTGACCTCCTGACCCAGTATGAACCTTCCAGATCCCTCAGGTCATCTGGATCCGGTCTTTTATCAGTTCCCAGAGTCAGAACCAGACACGGAGAAGCTGCATTCAGCTTTTATGCTCCTTATATCTGGAACAAACTCCCAGAAAGCCTCAGATCAGCTGAAACACTCAGTTTATTTAAATCCAGGTTGAAGACTCACCTATTCTCAGCTGCATTTGAATAAAGCACCAAATCCACACTTTTAAGCTTAAATTTCAAAACTTACATTTAACTACTGATTTTATCTACTGTTCTGATTTTATCTGTTTTGATTTTATATACTGTTTTTTTTGTTTGTTAATTAGTTTGTTTGTTTGAATCAATTTTAA